AACCCCAACCCCAACCCCAACCCCATAAATTAAAAATTATCCTATTTATCATCTTATTTATATATCTAAATAGATAAATTACATATTTCATATATTTAAAACAATAAAACTATTTTTCTTAAACAAATATATATCTGTAAAAAAATTGGGCACCCTAATTAACTTTAAAACTCCAAAAATGGACAATAATTTTTATTTTAAATTTAAACTTTCATTATAAAATTTATCTTTAAACTTGCCACTTTGATTTCTTGGAGAAAATTTTATTCCTGTAAGTGCCCACTTTTGACAAGCTTCCCTATAATATTTCTTATTTATTAATTTATATTTATCTATTAAATGTTAATTTTATATAATAATTGTTTATTTTTTTAATGGACTTTTAAAATTTTAATTCAAAACTATATTTATCTATTAATTAAGGATTAAAATATTTGATTATAAATAATGAATGAAATATATTTTTTTGAAAAGTATTAATTAGGAATACATTGAAATTTACAAAAATGTATCAATAAACTTCATACAAATCATAAAAAATGTAATTACTATTAATTCTTTAATCTAATTATATATGTTTGGTAAATGCAACCCTTTGAATATAAATAATCTGAGACAGTACTATGATGTAGAATTATTAAATTTAATGAGCAAGGTTTATTTATAAATTTTTGTAAGGAAGTCTTATTTAAATAAATTAGTTATTTTAAGCAAACAGATTGAATGTTTAAATCACAGTTTTAAGGTTGCTTGGTTCAACTTTTAAGAATTAAATTAATTAAATTTCAGGTATTATGCTGCATTTCTGAAGATATTATTTTAAGTCAACCAAAACTTATTCATTTAAATATTAAAATGTTACAGCTTATTTTTAATTATAATTCCATCTTTTACTCTCAGTGTAATTAAATTCTAATTCTTACCCTCTAAAAGAAAATAGTAAACTTATCAATATCTCTTTGAAGTCACTATCATATATTTGTTTTACTTTTAGCAAAAAATCTATTTTTTGTGTTGATACTATTTAAAATTTTCCTGATAAATGCTATTCGTTATACTCTCTCAGCTATTAATAACTATTAATTTCTATGTAATTAGGTCTTAGGCTTTCTTTAAGTCGATATTATTATATATAATCAAAGACAAATTATACTATAGCTAGAAAAGAAATAGTTTTGATTAATCTTTCAAAATAAAAGTTTTCTTATTATACTATTTTAATTTAAAGGGTTTAAAAAATGAGAGTAGATAAATAGATAACTAATAGCATGAAGAATCTCGTTATTAAGTGGTTTTCTATAAGAGAGCATCCTACTTTATTGAGTATCTTCAGTTTATAGGTATTTGTTACCCTAAAAATATGAAAACCCTTTCCAAGTGCTAACCTTAAACAAAAAAATATAATTGCAAATACATCTCTTTTTGTTTCTTAGAGTGTATTTAATCTAAAAAAAGATTTTTTGATAACTCTTACATAGACTGCTATAAATATTGAGAAGTATATAAAAATAAAAACCAAAGAATTTTGAAATTTTAGGCAAATAAATATAAGACCAATATAACTTATTTCACTCAAACAAGATTTAATTAGTTCTAAAACTAGTCTCTTATATTAGTTGTAATTATTTTCATGTTGTAATTCAAACCAAGTGTATATGAGATCAGACAAATTAAAGCTTATTGAATCAAAAAAGCAACAAAATAAGAAAATCAATTTTATAGAAGTATCATCAATAAATATGATTACAGAAAAATAAGCAAATTTAAATATTTCAGATTCTAATATCAGAAATGCCTCAATTTCACTCACTATTTAATGCATTTATTAATTCATTAAACGAATTTCTGAAATATAAAGTAAAAAATATATTATATTCATATTTATATTATACTATTAAGATATAATCTTGTAATATAAAAATAATTAGCGGAATATCATAAATGATAGATTAATTATAGCTAGTGTTAAATATTTTGCCTAAAAAAGGTATATAAGCATAATTACTTGAGAAATTAAACTTAGTTTTTTGAAAAATATCTATACGAATTAAAGCTACCTCTGTTTCATCTATTTTCTTACAATCTTTGATTTAATTTATTTTTAATATTAATTTACTAATTAAAAAACATACTTACAATAATAAAGATATATATTTTAAATATCTCACAATTAATTAATTTCAATTAAATAAAAGATGTGGTTTTAAATAAATTACTGTTTACTTATGTTAACATGATTTATTATTTAAAAAAAAAAAACATTTGTAATGAATTTTTTAATTTTGATTTTTGAAAAAAATCATTTTTTAAATTCAATATAAACTATTTAATAAAGCAATAAAGAAGGTCTTTGAAGTAAAGCTTATAGAAAATTAATAAATTAACAAAAGAAAATATAGATTAATTAATAATAATAAATTATTGATACATTTAATTATAATTGTAAGAATTTTATACGGTATTAGCCTGAAATTATTATATAGTAATTCGTTTAATTCTAAATTTATTTAGTAAGCAAACTCAAATAATTAATTATATTTGTATAAAGTTTGTTTTTTTAATATTTAAATCATTAGATAACAGTACTTGAGCTATTAATTTGGATATTCAGTTTCATTTGTATAAGTTATAAAGTTAAAAAGAAGAGAGTGAACTAATCTTGATCTGATTATAGTACCATTATTGCATTGTCTTTTAAGCAATTTGATCTATAATTACTATATTCTTGCATGATATATTTCCAGAAGTAGGATTCTTTGACGGGTTTTGTGAGCATTCTTCTAATGTAAATTTATTCATCAGGAATATCTAGGAATATTCTAACATCACACATATTTAAAACATTTGGATGATTATAAAGCTAGAAGCCATCTAATATAAGTACTTTATATTCATTTTATGATATTACTTATTATATATCAGCTTATAATTGATCCCACAAAATAGCTTCCTTACACTCAGCATTTCCTTGTAGAGTTGATTATATTAAGGGATAATTGAAATAAGAATCTTAACAAATATACTTAGCTCCATAAAGAATTTATAAATGGCTACACAAAGTACCTTTTCCAGAGCGTGTAGATCCTGAGATTCCAATAATGAATGGTCTTTATTGTTGGAAAAAGTCTTATGGATTAAAATTCATCAAATTTGTATTGAGATCTGTATTTTAAAGATATTTTTGATTATGTTGGTTTTTATTGATGACAATCTTAATTAAACGAGTCTTTTCAAACTCCATGATTGTGTTCACTTGAACGTAATTTTCATCAAAATAAAACATTTCGCTGTTTTCATCTAAATTATAGAGTTAAATAAAGCTTTCCCTTATGCTTTCAAACAGTTTTTCACTTGATAAAGAAGATGTCTCAATTTCCATGTTCTCATCTTACATAAAATTTTTTATCATTTAGTGCATCAATTGTTTTTAGCTTTCTTGTTCTGATGATGTCTCATAAGGATTTCCTTAGTAGTTTTAGTATGAATACAAATAATCAAATATGCTTTAATTTTAATAATTATTTTATTGATCCTAATTCTGCATTTATTAAGCTATGAGTTATTCATCATAATTCTAGTTATTATTGTTACTATTAATAGTTTATATTGGCAAAAGGCAAGATTTTGAAATCTTACAAAAGAGCTAAGATTCAGGATCGTTTAGTGAGCTAACAATATAAAAATCATTAGCGGCAACACTACGAATTTCTATAAATTCTTAAATATTTGCTTTCATAAGAGCCATATCAAGATAAACTCCATTAGACATTGTAATATATTAACTAAGATCTGTATTTACAATTCCCATCCACATTCTTAAAAAAAGGTTAATAGACTCTGAAATATTTGATATATTGTTCATACTCTTTGCAAACTCTTCTTAAAATATGTCTTATTAGCGGAGACTTATTAAATTTTTATTATTTTTGCTCTAACTTTTCTTAACTCCTTTTAACATGCCATAAAATATAGTATTAATATATGGAATTGTATCGTCAAGCAAGCCTAGTATTTTATTTCTTGATTCCAAATAATTGATTCCCTTAGCTTGATTCTAAGCATCGTCATTATAAGAGGCGTAGAATTTTTCACATTCAATCAGCATCTGCTTTAATGCATCGAAAATTCTTATTTGCCTTTTATAAAATTTAGAGCTAAAGATAAAGTTATCTTTTTGTTGTTTTTGAGCTGCTGGATGGATTTACAAGTTGTTGATTATTACTTGAAATTCTTCATTATTTAGAGCACTGTGGGTAAACAACTATTAAAGCAGTTAAGAAACTTTTGCTTCAAATGGCTTCATCATTTCATAAAAGTATCTTAATGGGATATAACCAGTATCTTTTCTCTCATTGCTTATCTTTTCTCTTTAATTACCATCCATGCTAATAAAGTAGTCATTGCCTTAGTCTTTTTCAATTAGCTTTGAAATATATTCATCCTCAATATCTAAAATATGTGTATTGTACTCTTCTTTCATGTAGTTAATGACCCCTTGCTTTGAACCTAAAGGAAAGTATTTGTGGGTTTAGCTTAATCCATAATCTCCTTCACCATTAAGGAATTTGTGATGAAGTAAATGGGTTTACTAGTGTAATTTTTTTTTTTTGTTGTGATTTATGCTATTAATATTTCCAATCATCTATTTTTAATTGATAATTCAATCAAATAATTATTAATTATTTTTAGGTGGTCCTTCGTTTACGAATTAATTTATAAAGCAGCTAATTGAAATTTATTAATTTATGATCTAGATTAGTGACGCTCAAAAATATTACTCTATATATGTCTATATTATCAACTCTTTCAAGATATTATAGCAATGATGTAATTTTTTATCTAAAAATTGGTAATACTTTTGTCAAATAAAAGGTAAATTAATTTTAAACTATTAAGCTAGTCTGTTGATTGTTAAATCAATTGATAATTGCTTTGAAAATTATTTTTTATTCTATACTGCACTTATAAAATAACTTCTCCTTTTTATAATTTTAAATTAAATAACCTTTTTGTTGTTTTCTAATTATTTATTGAATCTCAAAAAATCTTTCTATTAAGATGAAAAATTTATTTTTTCTATTTTGTTAATTTCTTTCCTTATTTGAATTATTCTATTTTGATTTATAAAATTTTTGAGGCGTTCATAAAATAATCATTATTATTTAAATAAAATTATAATGATTTATTTTACAATAATTAAAACTTAGTCAGATATCTTTAAGATTCAAAAAATAAAGCGTAATAACTGCATTTGACCGTAAAAATTAAATAAAAAAATTAAATATTGATATCATTGCATCGATTCTGTCTTCAATTTATTATACTTTATTTAGTTATATTATTTTGAAGTTTTAATTAGCTTTTAAAATGATTGATCGATCGATTTATTGATTTATTGATACCTACATATTACTTCTCTTTTCTTTTATTAATCTGATTAAATGATCACACTTGGTAAAATAAAAATAATTAATTAATTTATTAATTAGTTTGTTTATTTAATGATTGATAAAAATTAAAAACAACACATAAAATTAAAGATATTTTATTCATATATTTTTTTACATATTGCTTTCAAAAAAAATTTTTAAAATATTCTTTTTTGCTACCATCAATAATAAAAATTCCATTATTTGCTTTAGTTATATTATTTAGATGCTTTGCTAATTTTTAATTTTCAGGTAACATATTATAGTTTTTGAATAAATCAAAAAAACGAATGTATTTATCTTAATACTTATCTTCCATAAATTAGTGCTTGAAATCTGACTTGTCAATTAAATAAGCTTCAATTTTACTAGATGATTTGTCCTAAGTAACAAATTCAATTTTATGAGATAACTTTTCTTTAATTTACTTAATGAATTCTTTGTATTTATCTGAGAACCTTAATTCAAACTAGAATGTAATAAAGCTAGAGTAAAATTTAATCTGATCTGATACTTAAAATCTTTTTTAACTAAAAGAAAGATCAGAATAGTTTGATTTTATTTCATCAATAATACTTTCAATTATTTCATGCATATTAAAACTTATATTATTAAGATGTAGTTTTTACTCTATAGTCATAAACTGATCATTTATATCATTACTCGAGAAGAAGTTCTAAATAAATACCCTTTTAAATATAAATTTGGATTCATATCTAATTGCATCATTTTTTAATTCTTCTTCAGATTTAAGGAATGAAAACCAACTCAAAGTCATATTATCTTTATTATAGAAAATTTATACATTATTATCATTTAGAGCTGACCTAAAAGGTATATGATTAATCATAGCACATATATTTTTTTATTTTTCTTCAGGAATTATTTAATTGAAAACATTAAGCTTACTTTCTATAGCTGAAAATAAATAATTTACTATTTATAATTTTTCTTTTTAAAGCACAGTAAATGAAATTTAATCTAAATCATTCTCACTACCTACTTTGATCTATTTTTAAATTTCAATTAAAAGAATTAAAAAAATATTAATTAAATTTTAAAGAAGATTAATGAAGGAAATACTTACATCGTTGCTTTTAAGATATTCAATTATCAATCTTTCAAATCTAATTAAGTAAATTAAATATTAGGGTCCAGTGTAATACCAAATATCACTATTTGAATTCTTTTAGAATAACTTCAAATTTTTTACTTTAATATTTTGATTATTTTGAATGAATTCTAATATTGTATCATTTAAATTTTAAATAGGATAATATTCTTGTTAAATATAGCTTTTAAAGATTTAACTACTCTCATCATCTGTTAATATTTCACTATCTTCTAAGAACTAGTTTTAAAAATTATTTTCTTAAATAGCATCCAGGTCTTGATTATTTAACTTTTACACTTATTTTTGTGCAATCATTTAGCTGTTTAAGTTTTCTAGTATAGAATTACTTAATATTTAATTATATTAATCAAATTGACAGTTAATATTTGTTTTTAATTAATTGTTATGTAAATTTTCCTAATTATTGGTGTTTATTTGATTTTAATTATTATTAGAATTACTATTAAAAATATTTTTTGATGTTTTACTACTCTCAAAAATGTTAGTTTGGTTTAATGAAGAATTCACTTTAGATTAAAACTTATCAAAAGAAAGTTCACTAGGTTATTCGAAATTACCTGAACTAGAACTTTTTTTTGAATCTAAACTGGTAAGTTTAACGATTGAATTCATATTATTTTAATCTAGAATTAGCTCACCTCTTTTATCTGTATTATCTATTTAGCTTTAAAAATTAATTATGTTATTAATTTATTAGTTATTATTCTATGATTATTATTATTAAGAGCTCTCATTTTGATCAAAAGAATCTTTTTTATTCTCTGTAAATCCAAATGGGTTATTATTCTACGTATTTGCGCAAGTGTTTATTGTTGATCTAAGATCATAAAGGCTAGATTCTTATTCACTAATATTCTAACCAGCTAAAGAGCTTACATCTTAAACATTTTACATTTGTTAATTCAAAATTTGTTATTAACTTGACTAAATATTGTTTTCTTCTTAATTTTGTTCAGAATAATTTAATTAAATGCTTTGATCGCCATCAACTTAGCTTTTATCATACGAAATTCTGGTATTTTATTCTGATTCAAGTATTTAATCAACAGTTACTAGTGAAATTATTTATTAATAAATGCCAATTACATTAGTTTATATTTAGTATTATTATTAATTTTGATTTTAAACAAGCAATTCTCTTTAATTTGCATATTAGTTGACAAAACCATTTCCAAAATTCTCTCTATTAACATCATTTTATGCTGATATAAAACTAGATTTTTCAACCTAATCAATTTAATTAAGACCATTTTTGTTGATTTCATCACTTTATTTTTCAGAGGTTATGCTTGAATTTAAATTCTATTTTTATTTATCATGGTATAAATTGTAGTTTAATTAATTTTAATTAGAATTATTTTCCCAATACGATACTTATTATTATTCCTATTGTTGTGTAGAATTAGATATTTCTTCACCATTATCTTAAATATGTGAATCTACTACATATGATTTAATTTTTGCTTTATACATTTCTTCATCATAAGATTACTGCGTACTTTCAAATAATTGTTGCTAGTTTTAATTTTGTGCTTCAAGAATTATTAATTACTCTTATTGAGATTAATTGTTATTTATATTTTACCAATTTCCTACCTAATATTAAGATTAGGTTGACAAAATTAAATTTTATTTATCATTTTTGAAGTCATTAATAAACTATTTATTATTTTCCAAATTATAATTAGATAAAAGGATAGAACCTGGATTTAATTAATTATTTTGCTGATAATTTTAATTTGTGAATTAATGTTGTTAATTTTTATAATCTAAATCATCTGTAGCTTGATATCTAGATATTTGCTATTATTAATTTTATTGATCTTAAGGAAAACCATACTATTAAAGACCTTCATTAAAATAGGATTAACCTTGGATATAGTTGCTTTCATTCTTATATTATTAAACTTAAAAATGATTGTTTGTATTTCCTTAATTCAAATAACTTTTTTGATCAAATCTATTTTTATTTATTAAATTTCATTTAACTTATTTATAGAAAGTTATTTATATTTACTTTTAATTGCGATAAGAATTATAATCATGCTTTTGTTCTTCTTTCTCTTCTTCTTGTTCTCCTTCTTCCTCTAATTGAGATTACTTTCCATTGTAACCATTATAAAACCTTTTTGATTAAAATTGTGATCTATGTTATAATTTATTAACTAAAAATTATTTACTATTTTTGACATTCTAGAGGCAAAATAGAGCTCTAATTTTTTTATATATTATCTATTGTTGAGGTTTCAATCTTATTTTAATTAGATTTAGTTCCTTCACTTTAAAAACTGTGCAGATTATTTTCACTTCTTTAAAATTTTGAAATTAAAAAAATACAAAAATAAAATATATTACTTTTTTTCTAAAGATTCATTACTGTGGTTCTAACGCAGCTCTTTTTAGGAATTAAATTAAGACTAAAATTCTAAACCATTCTGTACCATATTTTACTATGCAATTCTTTGAAAAAGAAATGAAAAATGATATAATTTTTTAAATAAATAAATTAAATTTACAGCTGCTACTGCTACAGATACTAAATATATTACTATTATAAAATGATATCATCCAAAAGACTGTTGTTTTTATATATCCTATCTTTGCATATGTGTATTTTTTCTTTTTTCTTTTCACTTCCATTTTAGATTATTCTTCTATTTTATTTATTTACCTTCTTTTTTTCTTGATCTTCATCTATTTTAACTATTAAATTATAAAAAATTTTTAAATTGCCTCTATGAAGTAATTTACTCTAAGAACTCTTCTTTTCCTCATTTTAATTTTTATTTTTTTGCTACAGAATTTCTGCCATCTTTGAATAGTATTTTCCTTAAAATTCAGAAGCTATCTAAATAGATCCAATTGATACATTATTTTCGCTTATATCTTCTAAAATGCTTGCTAATGATTAGATAATTATATAAATATTATTTTTGGTTATTTATTTCATGTCAATTGTCTTAGAATTTTCTGATGATTTGACATGTCCTTTAGTTCGATCCAATTCCATTTTATCTCTAAGCTTTCTTTTCTATTTTTAATTAATAATTGAATTTCTTTCAAATTTTTTATATTTGCTTCTAAATAGATATTCTAACACATTAATTAAAATAAAAAGCTTTTATCATTTAAAACTAATCACTTTTCATACAAAATAAATCAATCCTCTTTTTTAAATAATTTAATAAGAAAAAAATATTTCCAAATTAAAATTTATAAAGAAAAAAACAAAAGCTGTAAAAGATTTAATTAAATAAATATTATCATGATTTTTCCTTTGATTATTTATTATTAGTGTGAAAATAAAATATTAAAAGAATTTTATTTTTAAATTAAATATCAATAATAAAATATTAATCATAATAATTTATTAGTAAATAAATTTACTTTTTAAATAATTTTTAGTTTATATCTTAGATTGAAGATTAGTTAGTATATTTGACTATTTTTTGATATTTTTATATTATAATCTAATTCCTTTTAATATTCTATACTCTAATTACTCCATCCAGTATTCTAAAAAGAGTAGTTTTCTAGCATTATAGTTGGAATTTTTAGTTAAAGCAAAAATTATTTTTTCCCATTAAAAATTAAAATTCTCTCTTTTGGTTTCAAGCAAAGGTATATAAATAAATATCTGTCATATGAATTCTGATTTAAAAAAGATAAAAATAAAACATATAGACATTTATATAAATATTTTAATACAAGTAATATATTTTAGGAATGTTGTGTTCTCGAAAAATTAAATTTTTAAATTTTTTACAATATCTTAATTGTTCCAAAATAATTGTTTTAAGAAACTGAGAAAAGCATATAAATTGGTTGCTAAAGTAATTAGATAATAAAAATGCCTATTTATTGTTTGAAAGTGAGTCTATAGAAAAGAATATATTCTATTTATATGATTTTTATTCTATTAATTCACTGACTAAAGATTCAATATTCTGCTCTTTGCTATTCATCTAATAACTTTTATTATTTAAATTTTATCCTAATTTTTCATTTTTACAACTCTCATTTAACTTTTCTTCAATTAATTTTCCACTTTTATGTTGTTAATTATCTTTTTCAAGCTCGTTATATTTATGTTAAGTTATATCAATATCCAATTCGTTTCCAGACTCTCTAAATAATGACAAAGCTCAATATTATAATTACATTAATTAATCAATTTTTATTCTCAATATATCTTCTATATCATTTAGAATATCTTAACCAAAACACTCAAAACAATTAAGATGTAGGTATTCAATCTAAAATTATTTAAAAAAATAGTTGTTTTATATTCAAATAAAAAAAAACTTACTGTCTTTTAAATTAGTCATTTCAATTTTAATATCCATTTAATCCCTTAAATGATTAAAACAGATAGAATATTATTAGGTTGTTATTTTATTTGTAATCAATTAAGAAATCATTTGCTTTTTAAGCATATTTCAGAGTCTGCCTGTGTATTCTTTTAATTATAGTTGAAGGAAAGTCAAATGAAGAAGAGAGTCTTTAAATAGGATTGATAAAAGCAACATTTTAAATAAAACCTAGAGGTTAGTCGTCTATTATTATTTGCATAAGATTATCAAAAGTAATTAGAGATGGTTCAATTAAATTTACTATTTTACTATTTTACCTCTGAATAGAAAATCTAATTATATTTATTTAGAGTCATTTGTTTTATTGGAATCATTGCTACTAATAATATTCTTTTTGGTAATTAATTATTTAATTTTTTTATCTTTTATTTTATCAAAATCTAATTAAAGGTGATAAATCAAATTAGAAGTCGTTATGCCTATAGCAACTAAGGGTTTAATATTAAAATATATGTATTTTGTATTTTGTATTTTTCTTTTTCTTTTTTATAATTATTAGCTTTTTTACTCTTCTAATTATTAATAACATCATTGTTTTCTTTTAAGGAAGGAAATTTTTCAATATAAATTATATAATAACTCCAAATTAATTGCCTATTTAGGTTATCCTATAGCAATATTTGTAAATTCCTTAACAAACAAATTCCTCTCTATTATTATTTTTTAATTTTTACCTTTATGATTTATATTTTTAATTAATTTCTATATTAATTTACATTTTCCTCTTAAAATGTATATTTGAATAGAATAGATTTAGAATAATCTTAAAATTTGTTAACTATTATGTTAAATATTATAAATAACTAACTATTTATATTCTAAAACTGTTTATGTTCGAAGAAATTTTTCTGTTCTAACTATCTTCAATCAGTGAATTTATATAGCTTAATTAATTTTCAAAAATATGAATAATTTAAAAAATAATGGAAATTATTTATTTTCTTAATTATATAACATTTCAGATAATTTTTAAAAATAGCTAATTATTTAAAAATAAAATATTCCCTCCCTCCATCATGGAAAACGAATAGATCAATTAACATTTTTATTTCAAAAATACAGTCGGTATTCCTTACGAAAAAAAAGAATAATTAGCCTCTAAGTATTTACAATATCATAAAAATAGATGTATTATTATTATTGGAAAAATTCTATGAATCACTGAAATCAAATGTTTTTTTATTTATTTTAAAAAAGATATTCAAAAAAATGTGTTTATTTGGCTAATAAATAAAATAATAAACCTGCAAAATTATTTATTAAAAATAAGTCATTATTTTAAGAATAAAATGTCAGATTATCTACAATAGTTAAATTTAATTAGTTTAAAAAATGTAATTAAAACTAGAGAAAATGTTTATTTAATTCAATAAGTTTTTAAAAGAAAATAAAAATATAATTTTTAGTAATAAATAATAAAAAGTGTATTTATATTATTTTAAAAATAAAACTCGCAAGGTGATTAATTTAAATTACCTTTTTTTATCTTAGTAAATATTATTAGAGAAAGTAAAATATTTATTTATTGACTAAAACTAATGTTAAAAATAAAAAATAAAAATAATTATTTGACTTTCATGAAATTAAAATATTTTTAGATATTTTTTATTCCAAATTAATAATTATTTTTGAAATAGTTTAAAGCATAATAAATATTATTTATATCAACAAATCTACTAATTGAAAATTTTAGCAATACTTTTTCGTTTTTGAATTTGATTTTCAGACGAAAAAAAAGAAGGAATTATGAATTAGATTTTGATAACAAGTTCTATTTTAACACACTCTTTTGAAAATTTTAACAGAAAATTAGTTTATAGATTGCTTAATATTTCGAGATCAAATTTCAAAAATATTGTGTTAGGAAAGATATACATACATACATACTAAACATTTGTTTAGATATTTGATATCCGTATATTTGGAATTAATAAATATATAAATTATGTACTGAAGCTATATTAATTAATTAATTAATTAATTAGAAATTCATAGCTAAATTAATAAAAAAGATAAATAAAAATGTTAGAGAGCACAGCCACACCTATGTTATTAAAGAACCGAAATAGACCTGGGTTCAGTATGTTAAATTAAATTAAAATGAATGAAAATTCATTGGATCATTAAAGCAGGTCAAACAATCACGCTTTTGAAATCAATAAAGGAAATAGTCTTTAATACTTAAAAGAATTGAGTGCTTAAAAAAAAATAGACTTTGCGAATTTAAACAAAAAAGAAGGAGGAGATAAAAGGGTTACTTGGAGTCCTTTTATTACTTAGAATAACTTAATATAAAATAACAGAGATCATAAAAGCGAGGGCATTTCAGATCTCATGCAAAGTAATAAAGAAAACTATCAAAATATTATCAATAATAACAACAAAAATAATGTACAAGAATTTCTTTAGTCTGCTCTAAAATAAAAATAAAAGAACAAAGTTACGTTCAAAGATGACATTTTAGAAACAGAAAAAGCTATTTAAAATAAATTTTTAGCAACTCAAAATTAGCAACAAAATAAATAAAAATCTGCTTCTTAAAGTTATCCAGAACTATTTAAAAATTACGCACAAAAACTTGACAGATATTAACACTATTAGCAACCCCAATATTAAAATTAAGAGATTTTTCATGAAAATATTGAAAAATCCTACATCTAAAACCATGATCAAATCCCAGAATGGAGCTCTGATGCCCTCTAAATAGCTAAATCAGCAATTAGAAAGAATTAAATTTTTACTAAGGCAAAGTTTATCAGTTTGAGCTTTGGATTTGCAGTAGCTATCATATTATTATGCAGCTTATTTATTAGCTTTAAAACTCTAAAGCTCTTCAAGATATTTGTTCTTATAGGAGCTGTTATTAGTCTAAGAACATTAGTTTATGAAGGTAAAAAAATATACAAAATTAAATAGTATTTTTAATATAATTAAAATCAATTTTTAATATTAATTTAAAGATTAATTTCAGAATGTCATGAAAGATCTAGGCTTAAAAGATTTAGGAATATTGGCCTCGATAGCTATGATTGAATTCTTTTGCATGATGGGATTTGCTTCTGAAATATTTGCTGCCATACTTCCATCACACTTACAACTGTAAAATTTGCTTTTATATAAGTCTAATATCTAATTATTATTATTTTTTATTTAGAGAAATATTTTGGGTTGTCCCAAGTGGGTTCTTGGCTTTAATGGAAACAATTATTTATTGGAGAAAGAGCTAGCAAAACAAAATAAATGAAGAATTTCTGAATATAAAATGCAACACATTTGAGATTCTTAAGGATAGTCTAAAATAATATTTCTAAAGTTTCCAGTTTTTAAAGGATGCTGTGACTCAAGCTATTTCAAGTGCTCTGATTGTTACATGCTGCTATTATTCTAAGATATATTATCACGAATAACAATTAATGTAAAATCAATACTTTAAAAAGGAAATGTTATTTAATCTAAACACCTTCCCTGAAATTCTACTTGATGACTATTACATCTACATTATATGCATATCAATTCTCTGTAAAATCATCGTATAGTTTTCTTTGAATTTTAATTATGAACTTATGAGATATTCTGTAGTCAGCTATTTGGGTAACTATATATGCTTTCAACCTCTATATACAATCGTCTTTAAATATCCTATTGCTTTTTCTGACTTTATTCAAGTAACTTCCATATAATTAATTTTTATATTTTAATTACCTAAATACATAAAAAATTAATAGCATGAAGCAATGAAATACTGGTATGCCTACTAGACAGTTCCGTTATCATAGGTGATAGAAAGAACTCAATTTTCTAAAAATTTAACTGAAAATGAAAACAAAGTAATTAAAAAATGTTTTTTTTAACTTCAACTGATTAATTAATATTAAAAAATATTTTTTAACTTCAGCTGATTAATTAATATTAAAAAATATAAAATAGGTTTTAGATACTATTTTCGAGTTTATTTCTAAAGAAATGAATAATACTTTGATTGCTTTAGCTTCAAATGACCAAGAAAGCTTTTAAAAAAAGAGAGATATCACAAGTTTCTTCATTAAAAATAGGAAAATATAAACTTTATTAAAAAAACAAAGATTCCTTTAATCTATTTTGAAATTCACTCTAATGATCATTTCAAATAGTGCAAAAGTGTTTAACTTAAAAGTAGTTGATTTTATATAAACTACTTCTTCCACTCTGGATTAACTCATTTAGCTCTTTGAAAAGCAAGGAAATTATTTCACAGCAGAGATAGCAGATATAATTATTTTAAAGAAAGGTAAATAATTTCAAATTTAGTAAAAATAAGTAAAATTTTATAAATAATAAAAATAAAAATAGAAGTTGTTTCGAATATTCAATATATCTACACTAAAATGAATAGTACAGTTAAGAGTTAGAATCTCAGTGCAATAGCATTGTCAATTATGATAGACTCAAATCATATCTATAACGAATATGACCTTGATTCAAAGTTTGTTTGCTGATAAAAAATCTTTAAATGCTCATTTGCCATTCTTAATTAAATTAGAATTAAAAAAATTTAATCTACCCTATATATATAAAATGATGTTTCAAAATAAGATACTTACTTATATAATTTAAATTTAGAGTCTGCCTAGTTTTCTAATAAAATATGGCTTTTATCTTCAAAATATATTTAATTTTTTATGTATCTAAGATATTAGTTTTGCATAGTCTGTTTATTTCCCAAAGATTAATACTTCCTTTACCTTTTGCATTTTAACAAACTGTTTTTCAATTAAAAATAATAATCTTAAGATGTATGCATTTTCATTCTAAAATAAAGTTTGCTTAATTTTTATAAAATTTAACTCATAATTTAAAAAATAATTTGCTTTTTCTGTACATTATATTAATTTATTTTTGGTTATTTTGTATTCTTTTATTAAATAAAAAGATTTTATTCGATAAACTATTTTTATAATATCAAATAAATATGAATTGCTCTTTTTAAAGTTTTAAATTAGATTTATTTATTTTATATAAAAAGTTAGATCATATTTTTATATTCAACACGTAAAGTTAATTTCAAAATAATTGAATAATTAAATTAAAAATAATTTTATTATATTCTGAAATTCAACTTATGCATGAAACTTAGTGAGTGCTTGATATTATTTTATGAAAACATTAATTTATTTTCTTATAAATACAGAGTCGTTGGAAAAAATAATTTGTCAGGCTAATAGAAAGGAACTTATCAATTTTATATAGTTAGAATTAATTAATTTATTTATGTGATATATAAATTGAGTGATTAACGATAAATTATTATTTCCTTGTTAAATTTAGAGAGAAAATTCAGATTTAATATATTAATCATAATTTTGAAAATTTCAAATAAAGTGTTGATAAATATTAATAATAAAAAAAACAAATTAAATAGTTTGTTAAATAGTTAGTTAGTCCATAATCATATATCTAGAATTACAAGAAATAAAAAATAATATAAATGAGATCTCAATAGCAAAAACTATCAGGTAAGATGAGGGATTTTAATGTTCCTATATTAACTTAAAAAAAATAAACTCATGATGAGAGAATCAAATTTTATTTTAATTAACAATAAATTAGATTCAGCCCAACGTAACAGATAAGGAGGTGAAGTAATAGGCTTAGCTTAATAAAAGTAAGAAAGAAGAGCTGTTTTAGAAGCTTCTCCTTTTGCTAATAATCATGAAACATTTATGAAGGATTAAATATTAGAGTTCTATGACTTATTCGAACTTTACTTCGATAAATAAAAAAGAGGTGTTGACATTAATGATATTTTAGCAACTGCAAGAACTCTTGGTTTAGATTCCAAATATCAAATGGTATATAAGGTTCTTTCTTAGATTTAATAAGAGCATCACGACTAATCAAGAAGACTCAATAAACCTGATAATGTGGATTTCAAAGAGTTTATTGATTTGCTATCATTGAAATTGGTAATTCTAACATTTTAATTTGTCCAATCAATAATTCAACATAACAAAAATAGGGTAATATAAATTCAGAATAGGGAGTCGATGCTATATTCAGATTATTAGATAATGATGATGATGTTAATAGCAAAAAAGACTGTGTTACCAAAGAAAAGTTATTAAAGGTCGCTAACGATTTAAGATATAATTTAAATGAAGACGAAGCAATACAAATTATATAAAATGTTGCAGGTTTCTAATAAACTGAATTTACTTATGATGATTTCTAAAAGTTCATCAATAAGAAATTAAAAAGCAGAAGATAAGAACAATTATCATGAAATAAATAGATTAATTAATTAACTAAATAAATAAATAAACTAAATTAAATTCTCAAATAAAAAGATTAAAATAATTATAATATATATATTGTTAATAAAATAAATGTTAATTTTACTCAATTAAGAATATTATACTTAATTAATTTTTAAAGTTCTTTTTATTTTATATTCATGCCAATAATATGTCAAAGCATTTTCGTTGTTAAATTAAGTTTAAAATTCTTTAAATTTAGAAATTTTAATAATTTTTACATGTTCTATCAAAATCAAATAATAAGTAATAGCTAATTAAGAATTTAATTCAAAATGATTTTAAAAGTTAATTTAATAATAAAAAGATTTTTAATGCTCTTAAAAAATCAATTATTTATTAACTTTGTTAACATCAAAAAACTTTTTTGGTTTTCGATTAAATTCAGAAAATTACCCAAAAACAATTTTGAGATTTTTATATTAAATCTAAAGCATTTTACAATATTAATTTCTTAATTCCAAATGAATGATTATTGTAAATCTAATTCACAGAATATAAAGAAAAAGAATCAAAAAAATTATGTAAAATTATATAAAAGCTTATTTTAAGAGAAATAGAAATGGATTTTAATATTTAATGAATTCATATTGCAGCTTATTTGCTATTAAATTGAAATTATTTGGTTGATAAATATTTAAAAAAAGTAAGTAAATCAAATTGTGGTTTTAAAGAAATACTTACAATATAATAATTAATTATCTTTTTAATATATTTTGAATGAGTGTAACTTATAATTTATCAAAAATTTTCTTGCAAGGTAAATTTGTTCTTCAAAAATCAATTCTGAGTATTAGTGTTTTATATTTTTTTCAGGATTGTAATTTGATTTTAATTGTGTACCTTTAATTTATAAATTTACCTAAAATGTAAATAAGCGCTTTGAAGTCTTTAACCTATATTTACATACTTTTTTAGCTTCTGTTATTTTTACAGACTTTTTAGTCCAGTAATAAGGATAATTAAGTCAAAAAATCGAAATATATAATTTTATTGAGAATTTCCTTTCATATTTTAAGCAGACAAAGTTTATAAAACTATGATTTAAAAGTATTTATTTTTACTTGCTATATTAAATTACCTTTTTTTTGAAAAAAATACTCTAAAATTGAAAGAATTTAAATATTTCAATTTATCTAAAAAACTTAAAATTATTTTTTCTATCATATAAAAAATGAAGTATTAAAACAACAAATAAATTTGTGATATTCTTTCCTTAAAACTTATATCTTTATTTATGCCATTTTATTTATTGAGATTTTAGACTAAATTTATATTTACTCTAAAAAACAGATAAAAGAATTAAATTATTATTGTCAATTGGTTTGGCTTTTACTGTTTGTAAATATTCATAATGAATTAATATTTTTTAGTAGAAAGAGTTAAAATTTTTTAACATAAATTACTGAAAATTAATGGTAATTTATTTACTTTCAGATATTAAATTTTATTTTGGGTTTAAACAATTTAATTTGCTTTATAATATGCATTTAATTGGTAAAAATTTATTTTTGAATGAAAAAGTAATTGTGGAATAAAGAAAGATTATAATTTCAAATATCGTTTACGCTTATATAAATTAATAACCATCTGATAATCATAATTTAATTAATAAGCTTTAATATAGGCAATATTTTATTCCTTTACAAAATAATAAATACTAACAATATATCAATATCTAGTAAAATCCAACTATTCTCTAACTTCAAACGCATAACAATATATTTATTTTCTTAAGCAGAAAAATATATAAAAATCCTATCAAAATTAATTTGTAAAAAAACCTTTAAAAAATAAAATTTTTTATATCACAACATGTTATAACTATTTATTTTTAATATAATTCCTTTAGAATACTTTTAAAATTTACATTTTTTCTTACTTTACTACCTATTCATTATTTTTTTTAACCAATTTGAAGTGCTAACTTTATGAAAATAATTGTAAATATAGTCTTACTCTACTTTGAAATCATAAATTATCATGTTTAAACTTTTGAAGAATATCAGAAGAATCTGTGGACATTTATTTATTAATTTAGAATAGTAATATGTCAATTTTTATTATAAAAAAAATACAAATCATTATTTTGAACTATTCTTTTTGAGTTTAAAAAAATTGAACTGTAAATTTAATAACCAAAATAATGATCATAATTTGAGGTAGAGAGGGTATCTTATGCCATTTATTTTGAAAAATGGAATGCGTTAAGAACAAAATAATTTGTTTATATTTAATTGAATTCTTACAACCACTACGTCTGATTATAATTCAGTAGCCACTTGATAGGATTTTTATCTCACTTAAATAGATAAAAATAATTAGATTGATATCTTCAGTATCAAATTTAATTTATACTTTCCCCAGTATTCCATCAGGAAAATTAATTTTTAATTAATTTAATTCATAAAAATAGATCATTTATTTCTTATAAATACAATAAAAATCATATCATCCACTATTAGTTTATTGATCAGATGATCAAATATTAACAACGCGATTTTATTTTTTAATTTTAGGCTTAATTCGGCTCATGACACTGGCCCATTTTCTCTTGACCAGCTCAAAGTATATAAATAATATTAACAGATTGCTATTTTCTGTCTTTACTCAAATTAAACTTTTAAGTAAACTTCTCAAGCTAAATTTAATTAATTGAAGTACTATGATTATTAAAATTTTTATTTCATTATATTTTTAATGAAGGTTTTCATGAGATGAAATTAAATAATTTCAAAAATTGCGTAACTTTAGAGTTAAGATGAAATTTGATAAGTACAAAAATATTCAAATATTTGTTTTTGTTTGAGTATTTCAGATTACATTCATTTTAATTAAAGATTAAGGTGGGGCCAGCAAATATCTAATTCAATTAAGTATTAAAATCAAATTAAATTAGCTTTGAAGTCTCTGAAACTATGAATGTTTATATTAATAGAAACATTGATGTATCATATATTTATAAAAAATTAATTAATTAATTAATAAATATAAACATAATTTATTCTTCTGCAAAAAAAAGAGCCAAAAAATAAGCAGGATTAACGTAGTAAGTGAACAAACAATCAACAATTATAAACGAGCATTAAAAAAATACTCTTAACCCTAATTCAAGCAGAAATAAAACTAAAATATTTGTGAAATCCACTAAAAAATATTTCTGATCCTAAAAAATATTAAGATTACTCACAATCTAAATTAAAATAAAATTAAAAGAATATCTTTCAACTAAATTATTAATTAAATCTATTTTTAATTTGCTCATACAAAGTACTCTCAAATAAATATCTCTACTTTCTATCAGCTTTAGATATCTTTTTGACTCAATTTCCTACTCTAATTTATATTGAAAAAATACATTTTTGATAAATTAAATATGATCAGAAACTCTGGAAATTTTGTAGAAGCTTATTATTATTATGAGAATAATAATATATCAACTTACTCTACCTCTACTATTGATAGTGATGACTAAACTGAAAGAAGAAGAATGAATTCTTCACCTACATTAGCTGCTATAAGTGGGTAGTATCCTCTCAGCTACTTGCAAATATCTGAAATTCAAGCCAAGAATGCATTAGATTCTTCTGCAAGCAATTACTATAATTAATAGATTAACATTTCTTCTTTGAATAATAATTGTGTTAATTTTACATAAAATGAAATTAGAAACAATAACTTATAGCAATCTTTAAAATTAGATGAAGGCAATGATGGATAAAAATCTCCTGATTCCAATAATGGTAAAAAGTAAACTGATTAAACTAAATATAAAACTGAACTTTGCAACACATTCACTATAACTGGTCATTGTGATTATGGCGCAAAGTGCAGATTTGCTCATGGTAAAGATGAGCTTCAAAAGAAGCCATCTATAACTAATAACAATTTTAGAACTAAATATTGCAAGGCCTTCCATGAAAAAATGTATTGTCCTTATGGATAGAGATGCCACTTTTTACATGATGTTCGCTCTCTCATTTAAATTTAAAGCAAGAAAGTTTATTAAAAAAAATTAATTTTAGATTAAAGCTTAATGCAAAAAAATACTAATTAAAAATTAACTTCACGTTTACCTATTTTCAATTACATTTGCTCAAGCAATAATTAATTTAGTTGTTCAACATCTAAATGATCTACACAAATTTATTTTTAGAGAACCTAGTGCAATCAAACAATATATGATTTATAATAATATAAATTAATGAGTAAATAAGATAAGATGAATGAAAATAAATTTGATACAAAATATCTATAAAAAAACTTTAATTACTAAAATAAATTGATATAAAATAAAAACAAAGAAGCCTATAAAAGATGAACTGAGTATTATCTTATAATTAAAACACTGAAAATGAATAATAAAATATCTCATATAAATCATAACAAATATTATTTATTTAACTAACTAATTAACTAATTAATTACTATTTATTTTCTCTATAACAAATTATTTTTACATATTTATTTATATATTCCCAAAATTTATTTTTTCCTTAACAAATATCACAAGTAATATTTCTATATCAAAATAAATTATTCATTTTTTGAACACTGAAATATTTTTTTCTGTTTAAAATTGGTTAAATACTGTATGTAGAATGCTTGTTAAGTGGTAATAAAAAGTTAAAATATTCTTTATTTTATCAAATTATCTGAAATAAAAAAATAAATATTATAAAAATAAATTTAAAATATATTAAAAAATATTGTAATTTATTAAATTTATTATGAATAAATTATTTATATATTTTTTTTATGCAAAAGGCTTACATTTAACCAAAAATAATATTTTTTTGATTTTAATTAAATTAATTAATTTAATATATTTCATCTCCATCAATTTTTTAATTTATTGATGAAGGGATTGAGAAACGTGATATCTTTAGTTTAGTTTAGTAAATTATTATTAATGTCTTCTTTAGCTATTTCACCTTAGCTACTTTAATCATCATTTATAATAAAATCAAAGTTTTTATTAGTTTTTTTTGTGATTTAATCTTATTAAAACTACATTTAAATCAATTTTTATGAATAATTTTAAAAATTTAATTATTACTAATTGTTTATAAGTGTTTTAGATTAAGGAAATATTTATTATTTAATTTCTGTTGAATTATTTTTATTTACCTTCTAAGATTAAACTGATTATGGAGAATTTTAAAATACATCTTATAATTATTAGCCATAAATGCTTTGTTGTTATGGAATCTAAACATCTGAAATATTCAATTCTTATTATACTTCGAATATATCAACTATATTTTTATCAATCATATCTATTATTTTTTAATCTAAGTTTGAAAAATCATCTTTTGCTAAAATTTTTTTATAAGCTTCATATGCATCTTTAATTTTTTAGAGCTCAGACCTGTCATCCTAGTAGAGAAGGTTAATTTCTTAATTCTTGTAAAAATCCTATTGCTAAATCTATTTTTATAGTTTTTTAGAAGTAAGACTGAAATTAATTGTAGGTTTTGGTAAATAATCAAATAATTTAATCTAATCTTAGTCCAATAGTAATCTTTTTAGCTTTTCAACCTCTATCAATCTCTTTAAAATTTACAAAATATCTAAATTTTAGTAGAGCTTATCAATACTGTAATCAATAATTTCTTTCTTCTGCTTGAGTCTTCCAAAAGGGCAAATGTATGATAATATATATTACCAAAAGCTCATTTCCATACTTTTGGTTTACTTTTAAAGCAATTTATTAATATTTTTATCTATTTTCTTTTTCTATTTGAGATAGTTTTCCTCATCTTTTTAGCCAGTTTACTTTTCTTACTTTTTTTTGTCCTAGACTTAGCATGTAGGCATTTATCTTTGTAAATACTCGCCACTTTTATTATTATTTTGAAGAATAGAATTTAGAAATTATTTTTATTCAAGGTTTTGAGATAATGAATAAGTATCTTGACTAAATCTAAAAGATAAAGACCTTTATAAATTTTTAAATAGGCTTTTTTTTTAATTATTTTGATTACAATTCTTACTATCTTTAATTTCCTTTTAACTTACTCTTGAGTTATCTAGTGTTTTCACTTTTACATCATTATTAACATTTTTATGGAACTTTTCTTAATCTATCAATTAAATATCATTACATAATAGGGATTTATTTTTCCTTAATTTAATAAAAGAAGCATTGCTTAAAAATGTCTTATCTTTATCACTAGCAATATCAAATTAAATATTTTAAGAGTTTTCTTCATTTTTTTTATTGAAGATAGTTTTATTTTCTTTTAAGGAAGCATCCTCTAATTACTCACAGCTTTCATCCCATTCTTAATATTTAAAAATTTATTTTATTATATTCTAATCTAATTTAATCTAAGATATCTTTTTACATATCAAAAATCCAATTGCTAAAAAACTCTAAGTCAAACCTCCTATTTCTGACATGATGCTAAGCAAGTCTTGATATTATCTTTAATAAATATTTTCTTTTTACTTTTCAAATCTTATCCTAAAGCTTAAAAAATAGGACTAAAAATTTGGAGGGTATACCTAATATTTTTAAATCACATTTTAATAAGATAAAAAATTAATTAACTTTTTTAATAGTTAAACTCTAACTATCATTAGTTAACAAAAACTTTAAAAATTTTTGGAAGAATTTTATTTTTTTAATTCTACTTATAATTTTGATAATGAATATCTCTTCTCAATTAATAAAAAGCAAAAGAATTAAATTAAGACATTTCTATTGAAATATATTTGAATTTATTAAGAATATAATAATTATTAAAAATGTTTCATAGTAACTGAACTGTGGGTATTTCTACATTTTTGTTGCTGTTTAGATTAATCCCTTATTGCTATAAACGTAGTTATTTCTAATATATATTAATACATCCTCAGGCATTAAAAGGCTTGTAGAAAAATATAAATCCCTTGAGAATATCTTAAATGGATTTTCATACTAATTCGCATCTACATAAGCGTCTGAAAGTTAAAGTCCTAGTCCTGATTTCATTAGATAGTAATTTATTTCTTCTTCTGACTTACAATTAATTTAGCATTTTGAGACAAAAAATTAAATTTGCTAAAAAACAGGAGAATTAAAGTCACCTTAAATATTAATATTTGTTTTAGGAGGAAGACAATACATATTTGTGTAGTTTAATGCCAAATAATATCTTTGATTTTCAGGATTTTTAAAGTTTTATACTGTGCATGGTTAAAGTGTAATATTCTTTTTTTCCCAAACAGTATTATATTAAATTTATGTTTAGTTGTATATTAGATACTTAGATTACAATTAGGCACTAACTGTATATATAGTTTCATCAATATAATAATTTTTTGTTATAGGATCTTCCATTGCAAAAGCTATTGGATAGCTTATGCTGTTAGTTTAAAAAAGTTCTGGATCATCTACTTATCTTTCACTATAATTTACTTATGGAATTGATCCTTGTATTGTATCAATTAATATGGAAATAAACCTATAAGAAATAAAGTTGACAATTAATAAAGTAATAAATGATCCAAAGTTTGACTAATATGTTTGCTTCTTTTAAAATCTTAAATTTATTTGCTTCCCAAACAAATCAATATTTTTAAACATTTATTTTACCTTTAAAATTTCTAATTTTATACTTTAAAAACAAGAGCTTTTACTAAATGCTTAAGTAGAACTTTAATTTTTATTTTTTTTATCAATAATTAAATGCGTTTATATTAAAAAATTTTTCATTTACAAATTAATAAATAAATCAATTTTTCACTAATCTGTAAAAATAATATTAAATTTTTTTATATTTACAAAGAAGTAAACCTTTGTGAGATATTATATTAAATGATCAATAACTTTTACAAATTACTGTTATTTAATTAAAAAGGTGAATCTAACTTATTTTTTCATTAAAATTATACTAATTTTTTAATAAAATATAGAAAGATGTTATTGATATTTTAATTAAAAATTTCTAAATATTTTTAGATTTTTTTAATCATGAATGAAAAGCTTTAAGTTGTATAGATTTATTTGTTTTATAATACAGATAGATATATCAAAACTTAAAAGTATTTTTATATTATTTATTTCCTTTATAAATAAATATATTATAGCTCTGAAAATTAATTTAAGGTTTGAAAAAAGAAGATGGATCATTTTTTGTATAATCTTTTTTCTATCATTTATTTTGTAATGGTAAAGGAGTTTGTATTTTTAATTTTTATTATAATTATAAGCAATATACCTAATTAATTTTTATTATAATTTTATGCAATATACCTAATTAATTTTTACTATTTTATAACATTTGATTATTACTTTATAGACGCTAATAATTGAGAGCTGCAAATATATATCCTTCATTTTAATACATCATTTTAAATAATTGATTGGTTAAACTTGAAAGAAATAAATTTTAATAAAAAAGATCATGATTATATAAATCTGTAAGAGCAAACTTATTGCTTTTTCTTTTAACAATTTACTAAATTATTATATTTTTCTTAGTAGAATTTTTACAAAAATAATTCTGATTGCATATAATATTCAAAATTCTATACTATTTCTTAATCTTATTTGAATTCAATATAAGCTTGTTAAGAAATTTCAGAAGAATAGTCTTTAATTATTTAATGTCTCAACTCAATAACATTGCGAAGATTCTCTTTTGTCAAGTTATATTTCATCAGTATTATATTTTCAATTGTATTTATCTAGCTATTACATGAGTCTTGAAGTTTTAGATTTTCTGGATAGCTTATTCTTTATATCTTTATTTAACAAGTACACCTTATTACTATTCCATCTAAGGTCTGTATTTCAAAGTCATCTATTTGTACCCATTCATTTTAAATCTAATTTAAGTAGTTCCTCATATTAAACTCTGCTATCAGCCTACTGCTATATCCAGTAAATAGCTAAAAATGACCATTTCTCAATATTTAAATTACATCTTAGTTTGCTGTTCCTAAAAGTGCTAAAAGCGCTTACGAAAAGTAAAAACATGATAAGTGTAAGGAATCAATAGCCCAGTTGATTTAAAAGGTAACTGCTAAAGTAAACTCATCCCCATTTAAATGCTACTATGATAACTCAATTGCTTTTGATTATAAGAATTTTTGTCTTTGTTAAATAATATCAAACAGTTCTTTTTCATGATATAGATTTTTAATTATCTGAATCTGATTTTCTAGTAAGATTATAGGAACCTTATATAACTTTATTAGCTAAGAGGTATTATAAAAATCCTAATTTTGAGTCCTTTCAAGTTATTGTATAATAAAATCATATTCTTTTGATATTTTTGAATCGGTAACATAAATTGAAATAAATCCTTCATTAAATAGACTAATTTAATATTACAAATGTATAGATTTTTTGCACTTTTTTTCTATTTAATCATTCATCCACTCTAAATCTATCACTACTCCACCAGGAAGAACATATTCCTTTTATTAGCAGCTTATTTATTCAAATAAGTTTTAATTATAAATACTCATAATATTATATTATACATTTTTTAGCCTTTTTTTACGTTTCTGCTTTGCAATTTTTGTTTGTATCGTGTTTGAATTTGTATTTAAATTAGTGATTTCAAGAGAAATTCTATCTCCATAAGATTAAATCTATATTATATCTGTAACTTTATATAACTAATCCTCATTTATCATCTATTTATCATCAGTTTATTAAAGCTGTATAGGTTTATATTGTTGACTGCCAAATTCATCTATATTTTATTCAAACTAATATTCTTTTTTAATAGAATCTACTAAATAGTTTTATTAGCCTATCATTTTGGTTAATATTAATTAATTAATTTGATATTTTTGATAATCTTATCAAATCAATTTGATAAAATATAATATGAATGAATATCTCTCTTTTTTATTATAATTATTTATTAATATATCTTAAGAATATAGAAAATAATTTAATATTAATAATATTTAAGATGATTTTTAACTAACTATTTTAAAATAATTTTTCATATTTACTCAAATCAAACATGTTTAGTTTTATTTAATGGAGATAATAATTTGTTACAAATAAATATATTCAATTACATAAAAATTTATAGTTAATTTACTTTAATTATTATGTTATTAATAAACATTAAAAAACATATTAAGAAAATATTTATTAAAGAAAAGTTTAAATCTTTACACAACAAAAAATATTTTGTAAAAATTAATTATAAAATTTCAGTTTAAAATTATTTTAAATAATTTCTTTAGAAATTTTAAAAATGAAAGTAAGTTGATGATATTTAAAAATATTCAATTTAATATATAATTATAAGTGCATTCTTAGTAAAATACTAATATAAATTTAAAATTTTCAATGTTGATTGTTTATCCATAAATCAATACATTTATAATAGATGATATTTATGTTTTATAGATATTCATTTATTTGTAAAATTACTGTTATTCTTTTAACATTGATTAGAAGAATATTAAATAAAATTATTTATGAGCTCTAGAAATTCTTTAGGAGTATAGCTTTAATAATTTACATTAATAGTGATTGTTGAATTAGAAACAGCTCCTTTAGAATCAGTATTAGTCAATTAATAACTTGATTTTGGATTATATTTGTGTTAAACATATTAGTTGGTAGATTTTTAATCTATTTTTCTTGAGGTATTTCTCTTAATTCAACAGAATCAGACAAGTCAATTTACTGTAAACTATTAACTTTTGGTGTATCGATATTTTTTTAATTTGAAAATACCTAATTTTAATTTTATAATTTGGTTTAATATTCCGTTGTTTATTAATTTCTATGAATAGAATCGCTATTTTATTATTCATTTTAAAAAACAATATTAGATAAATTATCTTATTTTTTCTTTTCTTATTAACAATCACGATTTAGATCTGTTAGATTAATAGACATATATTTATTTAATCTATTTATGCTTTAATTTTATGCTTCAAATATTTCAACTAAATTTTAGTCAAGCATTCCGATAATCTTTTAATCAACTTCTGAGAGATTATCTTTATTGAGTATGTTTTTATATGCTTCAAAGGCATCTTTAACTTTTTGCATTTCCGATCTATTATCTTAATAGAGAAGATTAATTTCTTGTTTTTTTTAAGAATTTAAATCTTTTTTCATTACTAAATCTAAATGTATAGTTGGTTTAGGCAGATAATCAAGTAGTTTTATTTAATCGTGATCTAAAAGTAATCGTTTTAGTTTCTCTACCTCAATCAATCTTTTTAATATTTACATAATATCTAAATTCTAATACAATTTATCAATACTGTAATTTATTATTTCTTTTTTCTTTTTTAGCCTTCCGTAAGGGCAAAATAGTGAAAAAAAATACTCCCAAATACCCATTTTCATGCCATTTGTTTACTTTCTCAAAAGCTTCGAGAAGTGCTTTTCAACTGCTTATTGATTTTTTGTTAAATCCTTTGATTTTTTTGAAAATAGCTTCGAAATTGAGCTGTTAGTGACTCCTAAAACTTTAGGACTAATGTTACTGTTATTATTATTATTATTATCAATATCTTCTTAGATCAACTAATTTAAAATATGTTTTTCGCTTAGAGAAAAATTCTATTATTATTTTCCTGGTTAAGAAGGTTTAACTACAGAATTTTATTTATTTTATTGTTTTGAGCTTTTTAATTTTTAATTTAACTTCAAAGCTTGAGGAGAGTTATGGATTGAGCAACTGCCTAGATGTATCAAGTTAGGTTCGATATTAGATTTTCTTTACTAATATATATTTTAAGAGTCCAATTAAACCTTCAAAATAGGCTTATATTCTTAAGATTTAACTTGAGGAGATAACTAGTTTGTCTCGTTGTTTACATTTTACTTTATATTCGCTTTCTAATCGATTTTATTTTACAAATTACTTTAAAATTGCATAAAGATCTAATTTTATGGACTTGCTGTTGATTTTTCTGTTTCTATAATGATATCTTATTAATCATTTTATAAACTAGATTCTTCATAATTAAAAATTTAATTAATAATTTTTTGATTTAATTAGAGTTAAGAAACTCGACGACATAAAAGAAACCCTATGGCTAAAAGACTTTATGTAAAACCACCTATTTCTGACAAAATACTAATGAAATCTTAATACCATCTTTTATAAACACCTTCTTTTTATTTCTCAAACCTCATAGTGATACTCAAAAAATAATCTTAAAAACCTGAAGGATAAACCTAAATTTACAAATAAATAAATATATTTAAAAAAAATAACTAACAAAAATATTTTAAACTTTACAGAATTTTCATAGTAGCTAAACGAAGGAAATCTTTCAGTTTTTATATTTGATTAAAACCATCCAATGTCACTGTACACATAATTATTTCTTAAATACATGGTTATATCCTAAGGCATAAGGGTACTAATATGCCAAAACATATCTCTGGAATACATTTTGAATGGGTTATCTTTGATCGTCGGATCCACATAAGAATCAGAGAGCTAAATGCCAAAATCAGATTTAAGCAAATATTAGTTAATTAAATTTTGAGATTTGCAATTAATTTAACATTGCTATACTGTTATTACAAGTTAAGAAAAAATAAGTGAAGGAAAGTCTCCTTAAATGGAAATAACTGATTCAGGTGAAAGACAGTACATATTTGTGTAATTAAGATTCTTGTAGTACTCTAAATTATCTTTATTTTGGAAATTTTAGAGAGTGCATGGCTAAACACTTATATTTTAATAAATCCATGTTGTATCATATTGTTGGCTAGTAGAATTAAAAACTCTTCTCTTTTGTTACCATTGAGCGGATATTGTGTATATTTGTTCATCTATATAATATAATTTATTTATTGGATCTTCCATCCCAAAAGCCATAGGAAATGTTTCACTTGATATTGAAAATATTTCAGGATTATCAACTTATCTCTCGCTATAAATTACATTCGGATTTTATCTATTAATAACTTCTAGTAATATCTGAATAAATCGCATCAAAATGAAGCTAATTATTATCAATGTTGTAAAAGATCCTAAATTAGATTTGTAAGTTTATTCTCCATTAGATCTCAAAAATATTTAGCTTCCAAATAAATCAATTTTCCTAAACATTTTTATTTTGTATTAAATAAATTAATATCTACTTCACTTTAAGGAATATTTTATTATTCTTACTATTAGATTAATAAATTATACAATATTGTAAATTAATTTATAATTTATTACAAATGCAGATAAATATTACTTTAAAAATTTCATAAACTACTTCATCAATTTTACAAAAACCTTCAATTAACTTAACAATTAAATAAATATTTCGCTTTTATTTGATGAGTTTTCAAATGGTTTTTTTTAATAAAAATCAAATTGTTAAACTTAGCAAACATTTAAGCATCTAAGGATTACAAATAGAACAGATTTAGTTAAAATTATTTAATTATAACATAAAAAAAAATTTTTTTTATTGCAATTAATATTTATTAAAATCAATTTTTCAATTTTGCTAATAAAAAATATTTTTATAAATAGCAATTATTTTACTTTGATTTTTTAAAGAGTTGTTATCTAACTTTTTATTTCTTTAATTAATTATTTTGAGATATTAAAGTTTGTTATATACTAATTGATTGTATGAAAATAAATTTTCTCTAAAAACATTAATTAAAAATACATACTTAAATTTAAAGATATTATTTTTTTAATAGAAAAGTGGTTTTTAATATTACAAATATTGATTTATAAATTCATTTAAATTTTCTTCTTTCATATAAATTTTATTTAGGCAAAATATTATTTTATATTTCTTGAGGGATTTCCTGCTAAACAGTGTTAGATGATTCCTACATATAGTCTTCTTGAATTTAATTTTGATTTAATTTTGTTTATTTATTTTCATTTTATTGTAATTATTGATGTTTAGTTATTTGGAGATTTTATTATTCAAAAATTTTAGATTCGTCCTAATTAAAATTGTTAATATCAAATTCAATATTTTGAGGTTCTTTAATATTAGATGAAAATTACATAATTTATTATTCGTTTATTAGAGAAGGACTTTAAAAAATAGTAAAATCAATAATTTACTAATTTTACTGTTATTATTGTGTGTTTGGATTTGTATTGCTGTAGTTCTAATTTTATGCTTCAAAAATTTATATTAAATTTTAATCTAGCATATCTATCAGCTTTTAATCTAATTCAGAGAAATCATCTTTACTTAAAATATTTTTATAAGCTTCGAAGGCATCTTTAGCTTTTTGCAATTCAGATCTGTTGTCCTGATACAATAAGTTAATTTCTTAATTTTTTTAATTGCTACGATTTAAATCTTTATTTAAAGCTAAATTTAAATTGATTGTTGGTTTAGGTAGGTAATCTAATAATTTTATTTGATTCTGATCTAAAAGTAATCTCTTTAATTTTTCGACCTCAATCAGTCTTTTTAGGATAGAAAAAATATCCAAATTCTGGTATAATTTTTCTATGCTGTAGTCAATTACTTGCTTTTTCTTTCTCAGTCTTCCACAAGGGAAAATTAAAGATACGAAATATTCAAAAACACTCATTTTCATACTATTTGTTTCCTTTTTCATAAGTTTTTCAAATTGTTTTTCAACAACTTTTTATATTTTTAATTGATTTTTCTATTTTTAAATGAACAATTTTTAATATGAGCTTTTACTAATTCCCAAATTTGTAGGATTTAAAGCATTGCTAATTGGTTCTTTTTCTAGATCTTCATGCAACAGTTTATTTAATGTTTATTTATCATCTCTCGTTTGTTTTTCATCATTATCCTCTAAAATAGTTCTGATAGTATGTAGTGATTAAAAATGTTTATTTTTATATTTTTTTTTGGGTAAATTTTTATCTGATTAATTTTTTTTTATTTGGCCACTACCAAAGCGAATTCTGCTTGTATTGTTGGATTCTGTTCTTTATTTTTGAATATTAAATTTTGATGTATCTATTTAATTATGGCATTTTTCTGATTCCTGTTTCAAAGTTAAATTAGATTCTGAGACTTTTTTAAGATTTAACTGGACATTAGAATCAGTTTAACAAAAATTTATTTTTTTGCTTCTACTTGCAAATTAAACTGATTAAGGTAACATACTAGTTTTTTTTTGACTAATAAAAGATGATTTTTTTAAATCATTTCCAACATTTTAGTTAGTTTATGTTTCGTCTGAAGATTCTTCGTAGTTGAATATCTGATTGATTATGCTTTAATTTAAGTATAGCTAAGAAACTTTATAGGTAATTAGAAATCCTATAGTCATTAAACTTTAAGAAAAGCCACCTATATCTGATAGTATTCCCATAAAATTCTTATAAGATCTATTGTAGACGCTTTCTTTCTACTTTTCAAATCTGAATATGATACTTATGAAGTAATCTTTGAAATTAGGAGGATAAACCTATTGATTTAATTATAAATTATGAATTAAATTTTATTTTTATCATTATATTTTTAAATTTAGTAGAATTTTATTTAAAAAAATAAAAGTTTGAGAATTAAAGATTGATTTTAAATTAATAAACAAAAATTGATTAATGGAATTTTTACAGTGTCTTCATAGAAACTGAAAGAAGGAAATCTCTAAGTAATTATGTCTGAACCAAACCAACCAAAATCACTGTAAACGTAATTATTTCTGATATATATATTTACATCTTTTGGCATCAGATTACTCGTAGGCCAAAACATATCTCTTGAATATATCTTAAAAGGATATTCTTTCTCTTAAGGATCTACAAAAGCATCAGAAAGTTATAAACCGAAATTTGACTTAAGTAAATATTCATCAAGTTAGTCTGCAGATTTGCAATTTTTCTAACACTTTTGAACCTATAATTCAATATATGAAAAACTTTTAGATTAAAAATCTCCTTAAATAGCCAAAACATCTTCAGGAGAAAGGCAATACATGCTAGTGTAGTTAAGACTTAGATAATAATTCATATTATTTGGATTTTTAAAGTTTTCACTAGTACAAGGTTGTATTTTTAGGTCTTGTTACTTCCATAATATATCATTTTATTAAGTAGTTTAGTTAAATATTAGTTATTTTTACTTCCATTAAGCTTTTATATTATATATACCTTCATCTATATAATATTCATTATTATATGGATTCTCCATTGCAAAAGCCATCGGAAAGGTTTCACTTGTTGCATAGAATATATCAGGATCATTAACCTGTCTTTCACTATAAATTATTTAAGGTTTTTCTCCAAGGACGACAGATAAAATGATCTAAGTTAAGCGTAAAAGAATTAACCCTATTATGATTAGACTAACTATAGATCCAATATTGGATTAGTATGATTGTTGTCCTTAAAATCTTAAATTGATCTTACTCCCAAAAAGATCGATTCTTTAGAACATATTTTCTCTTCAAATTGTTTGTTTTGATTTTGTTTTTTAGATTTGTATTTTTAATTACTTGATTATTCTTTTTAATTTAATTTAAGTTCGCTTTATCTCCTAATTTAGTGAAATCTTTTTAAATTGCAAAAAGTAAGTGATATAGAATTCAAAAATTTAGCTGAATTAATCTTCCTAAATGAATCTACTTTTTTAATGAAAATATTGACAACTCTGTAAACCACTATTATTTTTTGTAAAAAATTAAAATTAAGGATTTGTAATATGGAAATTTAAATTATTGATAAAAAATTATTTAAAAAATACAATAAATTAATAAGTAAGTGAGAAGGATAATAAATACGATATTTTTTTTTTTGTATTTGATATTTTCTATAATATATTTAAAATTTTTATTGTTTTGCTTTAACATCTATAATGCGCTCTTTATTCTAAATTTAAAGTAGATAAGTATTTGCTCTTGACATATTTTAAAATTTATTTTTAAAAATAAAATTATTTAAGATTATAATATGTTTAAAAATATAATTATAATATTACAATCCAAAAAAAATATTTTGAAAAGGTTTGAGTTCATCAACGAAAATTAGGTTCAACCTAAATTCAAATAATTCATAAAATTAATTGAAGAAATATAATAATAGCTAATGTAACAAAGAAAATTGATTGAAATTATTAAAAGTATATTGTAATAATACAAATTGAAATAATATATATTTAAAATTATAACATACAGCTAAAAATATTATCTATTTTAATAAATTTGATAATATGAAAAGTAAGTGCAAATAATAATAACTTTATTTAATAATTCTAAATAAGATGAATATAAAATGCCATGTAAATTATATGTTTATGATCAAAGCTAAAATATTCCAAATAAATAATAATTCTAGTTTTAAATGTATTAATATTTTAAGATTTTAATATTATCAGTTTTTCTCTTAACGAAAACTACCTAATATTTAAAAAATTACTAAAAATATACTATTTATCGATCTCCTGAATATTGATGACTTTATTAAATGTGAATTAAATTAATTAATACTTAAATTCTTCTAATCTAAGTAAAATTTAGAGTGAATTTAAATTATATTAAATAGTAAAGACAATTTTATTAATTTATTATAATTTTTGTCAATAAATGCAACTAAATTTAAATTCAATAGTGTGATAGAAAAAGCTTATAGGTTTTCATATCTTTTTATTATAATAGTCGATTTTGTAATTATTCACAATTATATTGAGTAAATTGAGTGGAGCAAAAAAATTTGAATATCAATTAAATTAATTTTTTAGTAGTAAATACCATAACTTAATGTTAATAAACATTATAGCTTTCACTATTTTAAAATAAAACTGAAAGAATTTTTCTTTCATATATAATACAAATTTTAAGAAATTAGCTTTCATTTTTAAGTTATTTCATAATTTTCCAATTTATTTTATAAATTATTGTAAAAATTTTCTTATGCTACTTCAACTTCTTGTTCACTATTACTGCTACAGTTCTAATGCTAAGTAAATTTATCATTTTTTATTATGCTATTCCTGTTATTATTGATTGATTTTTAATCAGAAAACTATAAACTTTGAATTTCTAACTATTTAGAATCATCATGCTAGTTCATAAAAAAATTGTTAGAATCTTAATGTTAAATTACTTCAGATGATATATTATCTATGTTTTTTAATTTTTCATTTTAAAAATTGGAGAGAG